TGGGGGGATTTTGGGGGAGTTTTGAGGGATTTGAGGAGAATTTTGGGGTCTTTTGGGGGTTTGGGAGTGATTTGAGGGGATTTGGAGGAATTTCGGGGCGATTTGGGGGGATTTTGGGGGAGTTTTGAGGGGATTTGGGATTTTTTTGAGGGGATTTGAGAGATTTAGGGGGGATTTGGGGGAGTTGAGGGATTTGAGGAATTTTGGGGGCATTTGGGGGATCTTGGGGATTTTTGAGGGATTTGGGGGATTTTGGGGAGGTTTTGGGAAGTTTTGGGGGTTTTGAGGGGATTTTGGGAGAGTTTGGGGGGATTTGAGGTTTTTTTGGGAGGATTTGGGAGGGTGGCAATTTGAGGGGATTTGGGGGAGTTTTGGGGGGATTTGAGGGAATTTTGGGGCGTCCTGGGGTCATTTGGGGTCATTTGGGGGATTTTGGGGGTTGGGAAGATTGTGGGAGCTTTGAGGGGATTTTGGGGAGCTTTGGGGGTTTTGGATTTGGGGGTCGCTCTGGGGTCATTTTGAGGTCACTTTGAGGGATTTTGGGGAAATGGGGATTTGGGGAGTTGGGGTTTGGGATGATTGGGTCACTTTGGGGGATTTGGGGGATAAGGGGGATTTGGAGGGTTGAGGAGTTTGAGGGATTTGGGGTCATTTGGGTGGATTTTGAGGGGGTTTTGGAGGGATTTGAGGGAATTTCGGGGCGATTTGAGGAGATTTTGGAGGAGTTTTGAGAGGTTTTGGGGTTTTTTTGGGAGGATTTGGGGGTTTTGAGGGAATTTGGGAGTTTGAAGATTTGAGGGGATTTTGGGGAAACTTTGGGGATTTGAGGGATTTTGGGGATTTGAGGGATTTCGATGGGATTTTGGGATTTTGGGGAGCTTTGAGGATTTGGGGGAGTTTGGGAGGATTTGGGGAGGTTTGGGACCCCCAGGGAGAATTTGGGGTGGATTTGAGGAGGATTTTGGGGGGTTAGGAAGAGGATTTGGGGATTTGAGGAGGATTTTGGGGATTTAAAGAGGATTTTGTGGGGATTTGAGGAGGATTTTTGGATTTTCAAGAGGATTTTATGGGATTTGAGGAGGATTTTGGAGTGATTTGAGGAGGATTTGGGGGATTTGGGAGATTTTGGGGATTTGCAGGAGGATTTTGGGGGATTTGAGGAGGATTTTTGGGATTTGAGGAGATTTTGGGGGTTCTTGGAGGATTTGGGGCCGATTTGAGGGGTATTTTGGGAGATGGGAGAAAAATTTGGGGGGAGTTTTGGACCCCAAGGGAGGATTTTGGGGGGTTTGGGGAGGATTTTTGGATTTTCAGGAGGATTTGGGGGGAATTTGAGGAGAATTTTGGGGATTTGTGGAGGATTTTTGGATTTTCAGGAAGATTGGGGGGTTGGGATCCCAGGAGGATTTAGGGGGGATTTGAGGAGGATTTTGGGGATTTGAGGAGGATTTGGGGGGGATTTTGGGGAATTTGAGGAGGATTTTGTCGGATTTAATGAGGATTTTTGGGTTTTCAGGAGGATTTGGGGGGGATTTGGGAAGAATTTGGGGAGATTTGAGAAGGATTTTGGGGAATTTGGGGAGGATTTTTGGATTTTCAGGAGGATTTGGGGGATTTTAAGAAGATTTTGGGATTTACAAGAGGATTTGGAGGGATTTGTGGAGGATTTTGGGGTTTCAGGAGGATTTCAGGACTCCTGGGACCCCCTTTGACCCCTGAGACCCCCAAATTTGGGGTCTCCCTCCCAAACCCCCCCAAAACCCACCAAAAAAACCCCCAAATCTGGGGTCTCCTTCCCAAAATCCCCCAAAATCGCAAACAAACACAAAAAAAAACCCCAAATTCGGGGTCTCCCTCCCAAAACTCCCCCAAAATCCCCAAAACCCACCAAAACCCCCCCAAAATTGCGGTCTCCTTCCCAAAAATCCCCCCAAAATCCCAAACAAACACAAAAAAAAACCCCAAATTTGGGGTCTCCCACCCAAAACCCCCCCAAAACCCCCAAAACAACCCCCAAATTCAGGGTCTCCCTCCCAAAAAGCCCCCAAATTTGAGGTCTCTCCCCCCTTCCCCCACCTTAACCCCCCAAAATTGGGGTCTCCCTCCCAAAAACCTCCCAAATTTGGGGTCTCTCCCCCTCCCAAACCTCCCAAATCCCGGAGTCCCTCCCAAAAACCCCAAAAACCACCAAAAAAACCCCAAATTTGGGGTCTCCCACCCAAAAATCCCCCCAAAATCCCAAACAAACGCCAAAAAAAACCCCAAATTTGGGGTCTCCCTCCCAAAACTCCCCCAAAATCCCCCAAAAACCACCAAAAACCCCACAAATTCGGGGTCTCCCTCCCAAAATCTCCCCAAATTTGGGGTCTCCCTCCCAAAAAACCCCCCAAATCCCCAAAGCCCACCAAAATCCCCCCAAATTCGGGGTCTCCCTCCCAAAAAAACCCAAAAACCACCAAAAAAACCCCTTAAATTTGGGGTCTCCCACCCAAAAATCCCCCCAAAATCCCAAACAAACACCAAAAAAACCCTCAAATTCGGGGTCTCCCTCCCAGAATCTCCCCAAAATCCCCAAAAACCACCAAAACCTCCCCAAATTTGGGGTCTCCCTCCCAGAATCTCCCCAAATTTGGGGTCTTCCTTCCAAAACCCCCCCCAAAACCACCAAAAAACCCCCCAAATTCGGGGTCTCCCTCAGCAAAATCCCCCAAATTTGAGGTCTCCTCCCCACCTCAACCCCCCCCAAATTCGGGGTCTCCCTGCCAAAACTCCCCAAAATCCTCCCAAAGTCCCCCCCAAAGTCTCCCCACAAACCCCAAATTCTGGGGTCTCCTCCCAAAAACCCAAATCCCACCAAAACCCCTCAAATTTGGGGTCTCCTCCCAAAACTCCCCAAAATCCACCAAAACTCACCAAAGCCCCCCCAAAACCCCCAAAACCCAAATTTGGGGTCCTCCTCCCAAACCCCCCAAAATCACCAATAAAACCCCAAATTTGGGGTCTCCCTCCCAAAATCCCCCCAATTCGGGGTCTTCCATTCACCTTAATCCCCTAAATTTGGGATCTCCCTCCCAAATCTGGGGTCTCTCCTCCCAAACCCCCCAAATTTATGGTCTCCTCCCAAAACCCCCCAAAAATCCCCAAAACCCCCCAAATTCGGGGCCTCCTCCCAAAACCCCCCAAAAATCACCAAACCTCCCCAAATTTGGGGTCTCCTCCCCAAATCCCCCAGATTTGGGATCTCCCCTCCCAAACCCCCCAAATTCGGGGCTTGGCCTCCCAAAATCCCCCCCAAAATCCCACAAACCACCAAACCACCCAAATTTGGGATCTCCTCCCAAAATACCCCCTAAATTCCTAAACCATCAAAAACGCTCCCAAATTCTGGGGGTCTCCTTCCCAAAATCTCCCCAGTTCGGGGGTCTCCCATCCCCCTCAATCCCCTAAATTTGGGATCTCCCTCCCAAAAACCTCCCAAATTTGGGGTCTCTCCACCTCCCAAACCCCCAAATTCGGGGTCTCCCTCCCAAAAAAACCCCCAAATTCGGGGTCTCCCTCCCAAAAACCCCCCAAAAACCACCAAAAACAAAAACCAAATTTGGGGTCTCCCTCGCAAAAACCCCAAAACCACCGAAAACCCCCCAAATTCAGGGTCTCCTCCCAAAACCCCCCCAAATTTGGGGGTCTTCACCCAAAAACCCCCAAAATCCCCAAAACCATCAAAAGCCCCCCAAATTCAGGGTCTCCCTCACCAAAATCCCCCAAATTTGAGGTCTCCCCCCCACACACACACCTCAACCCCCCAAAATTGGGGTCTTCCTCCCAAAACCCTCCCAAATTTGGGGTCTTTCCCCCTCCCAAACCCCCAAATCCCCCAAACCACCAACCCCCAAATTTGGGGTCTCCTCCCAAAACTCCCCAAAATCCACCAAAAACTCCCCAAAGCCCCCTAAAACCCTCCAAAAACCCCAAATTCGGGTCTCCTCCCAAAACCCCCAAAATCCCCTCAAACCACCAAAAACCCCCCCAAATTCAGGGTCTCCCTCCCAAAATCCCCCAAATTTGGGGTCTCCCTCCCAAAAACCCCCCAAAAACCACCAAAAAAACCCCCCAAATTTGGGGTCTCCTTCCCAAAATCCCAAACAAACACCAAATAACCCCCCCAAATTTGGGGTCTCCCTCCCAAAAAGCCCCCAAATTTGGGGTCTCTCCCCCTCCCAAACCCCCAAAATTGGGTGGGGTCTTCCTCACAAAAATTCCCCCAAAATCCCCCAAAACCCCCCAGAAAACCCAAATTTGGGGTCTCCATCTCCCTCCCAAAAAAAACCCAAATTCGGGGTCTCCCTCCCCAAAACACCCAAAAATCCCCAAAAAACCCCAAATTTGGGGTCTCCCTCCCAAAAACCCCCAAAAACCCCCCAAAAAACCTAAATTTGGGTCTCCCTCCCAAAAACCCCTCAGATTTGGGGTCCCCCAAGACCCCCCACCCCCTGAAACCCCCAATTTTCCACCCCCCTGAACATCTGGGATCCCCAAATTTGGGGTCTCATCCCTTCTCCCCCAAAAAACCCCCAAATTTGGGGTCTCCCTCCCAAAATCTCCCCAAATTCGGGGTCTCCCACCCAAAAACCCCAAAAAACCACCAAAAAAACCCCCCAAATTTGGGGTCTCCCTCCCAAAAATCCCCCCAAAATCCCCCAAAACCACCAAAAAGCCCCCAAATTTGGGGTCTCCCACCCAAAACCCCCCAAAATCACCAAAAACCCCCCCAAATTTGGGGTCTCCCTCCCCAAATCCCCCCAGATTTGGGATCTCCCCCCTCCCAAACCCCCAAATTTGGGGTTTGCCTCCCAAAATCCCCCCAAAATCCAAAAAAACCACCAAAATCCCCCCAAATTTGGGGTCTCCCTCCCCAAATCCCCCCAAATTTGGGGTCTGCATCCCCAAACCCCCCCAAATTTGGGGTCTCTCCCCCAAAAACCACTCAAAACCCCCCAAAATTTGCTCTGGGGGCGCCGCCTCTTTATTAATAGACAGACACACGGGGGGGGAGGGGCAAAAAGGGGGCGTGGCCAGGAGCAGATGGGCGTGGCCAGTTGAAGGTGGGCGTGTCCAGGTGAAAGTGGGCGTGTCCACTTGAAGATGGGTATGTCCAGTTGAAGATGGGCGTGTCCAGGTGTAGATGGGTGTGGCCAGGTGCAGATGGGCGTGTCCGATGGGTGGGTGGGTGTGTCCAGGTGAAGATGGGCGTGTCCAGGTGCAGATGGGAGTGTCCTGGTGTGGGTGGGCGTGTCCAGGTGCAGATGGGCGTGTCCAGTTGAAGATGGGTGTGTCCAATTGAAGATGGGTGTGTCCAATTGAAGATGGGTGTGTCCAGTTGAAGATGGGCGTGTCCAGGTGCAGGTGGGTGTGTCCAGGTTTGGGTGGGCGTGTCCAATGATTGGGTGGGTGTGTCCAGGTGCAGATGGGCGTGTCTGCTGGATGGTGGGCGTGTCCAGTTGCAGGTGGGTGTGTCCAATGATTGGGTGGGCGTGTCCAGGTGCAGGTGGGTGTGTCCAGTTGAAGATGGGCGTGTCTGATGGATGGTGGGCATGTCTGATGGTTGGTGGGCGTGTCCCTGGGTGAGGTGGGCGTGTCCCTGGGTGGGTGGGCGTGGTCAGTAGGCGTGGTTGGACACGAAGAGGGACTCGCTGGCGGCGGCCCCGGCGGTGCCGCTCGGGGTGTATTTGCCCTGGCACGCCAGGGAGTTCGCCTGGGGGGACACACAGGGACATCAGGGGCTTGGGGACATCAGGGGACATCAGGGGGTTGGGGACATCAGGGGATTGGGGACATTGAGGGCGATTTGGGGACATTGAGGGTGTTGGGGACATTGGGGACACTGAGGGGATTTGGGGACATTGGGGGTTTGGGGACATTAGAGGGTTTGGGGACACTGAGGGATTTGGGGACATTGGGAGGGTTTGGGGACATTGGAAGGGTTTGGGGACATTGGGGACATTGGGAGTGTTGGGGACTTCGGGTGGGGGTTTGAGGGATTTGGGGACATTGGGGACATTGGGGAGTTTGGGGATATTGGGGATTTGGGGGACTTGGGGTTGGGGACATTGGGGACATTGGGGATGTTGGGGGATTTGGGGACATTGAGGGGTTTGGGGACATTGGGGGTTTGGGGACATTGGGGACATTGGGGGTGTTGGGGACATTTGGGGACATCGGGGGTTTGGGGACATTGGGAGTGTTGGGGGTATTTGGGGGATTTAGGGTGTTGGAGGTGTTGGGGACATTGGGGATTTTGGGGACATCAGGGGGTTAGGGCATTTGGGATGGGAGCATTTGGGGACATTGGGGGATTTGGGGGACTTGGGGGATTGGGGACATCAGGGGATTTGAAGTCATTGGGGGTTTGGGGACATTGGGGACATCGAGTGTTGGGGGATTTGGGGGATTTAGGGTGTTGGGGGTTTGGGGACATTGGGGTGGATTTGGGGACAGTGGGGGCATTTGGGAACATCAGGGGTTGGGGGATTTGGGGACATTGAGGGGTTTGGGGACATTGGGGGATTTGGGGTTGGAGGTGTTGGGGACATTGGGGATTGGGAGGGTGTGGGGACATGGAGGGGATTTGGGGACATTTGGGCATTGGGGTGTTGGGGTGATTTAGGTGGTGGGGGACATTGGGGGATTTGGGGCCATTGGGGGAATTGGGACGCCAGGGACATTGGGGACATGGAGGAGATGGGGACACTCGTCCCTGTGTCCCCCAAATGTCCCCAAGGTGTCCCCAAGGTGTCCCCAAATGTCCCCAAGGTGTCCTCAAGTCACCCCCCAACCTTCCCCCTAATCCCTCAGCCCCTCCCAACCTCCCCAAACTGTCCCCAAACCACCCCCAAATGTCCCCAAACGTCCCCAGACTGTCCCCAAAGTGTCCCCAAGGTATCCCCAAGCCCCCAGAGTGACCCCAAATGTCCCCAAGGTGTCCCCAGGGTGTCCCCAGTGTCCCCCCCAACCTTCCCCCCTCATCCCTCCGCCCTCCCAACCTCCCCAAACCACCCCCAAATGTCCCCAAATGCCCCCAAGGTGTCCCCAAAGTGTCCCCAGAGTGTCCCCAAGGTGTCCCCAAGCCCCCAGAGTGACCCCAAAGTGTCCCCAAATGCCCCCAAGGTGTCCCCAAGTCACCCCCCAACCTTTCCCCCTCATCCCTCATCCCTCCCCCTCTCCCGAACTGCCCCTAAATGTCCCCAAACCGCCCCCAAATGCCCCCAAAGTGTCCCCAAATGTCCCCAAAGTGTCCTCAAGGTGTCCCCAAGTCATCCCCCAACCTTCCCCCTATCCGTCAGCCCCATCCCAACCTCCCCAAACCGTCCCCAACACCTCCAAATGTCCCCAGACTGTCCCCAAACCACCCCCAAATGGTCCCCAAATGTCCCCAGAGTGTCCCCAAAGTGTCCCCAAGCCCTCAGAGTGTCCCCAAATGTCCCCAAGGTGTCCCCCAGCTGTCCCCAATGTCCCCCCCAACCTTCCCCCCTTGTCCCTCAGCCCCTCCCAACCTCCCCAAACCATCCCCAAACCACCCCCAAATGTCCCCAAATGTCCCCAGAGTGTCCCCAAACATCCCCAGAGTGTCCCCAAAGTGTCTCCAAGCCCCCAGAGTGTCCCCAAAGTGTCCCCAAGTGTCCCCAAGGTGTCCCCAAGGTGTCCCCAAGTCACCCCCCAACCTTCTCCCCTCATCCCTCGCTCCATCCCAACCTCCCCAAACCGTCCCCTAAATGTCCCCAAAGTGTCCCCAAACGCCCCCAAATGTCCCCAGAGTGTCCTCAAAGTGTCCCCAAATGTCTCCAGAGTGTCCCCAAGCCCCCAGAGTGTCCCTAGAGTGTCCCCAAATGTCCCCAAGGTGTCCCCAAGCTGTCCCCAATGTCCCCCCCAACCTTTCCCCCTCATCCCTCGCTCCATCCCAACCTCCCAGAACTGCCCCCAAATGCCCCCAAAGTGTCCCCAGACTGTCCCCAAGCCCCCAGAGTGTCCCCAAGGTGTCCCCAAATGTCCCCAAGCTGTCCCCAAGGTGTCCCCAAATGTCCCCAAGCTGCCCCCAAGTCACCCCCCTCATCCCTTGCTCCATCCCAAACATCCCCAAATGACCCCAAACCACCCCCAAACATCCCCAGTGTCCCCAAACACCACAAACCACCCCCAAACTGTCCCCAAATGCCCCCAAAGTGTCCCCAAAGTGTCCCCAAGGTGTCCCCAAGTCACCCCCCAACCTTCCCCCCTCATCCCTCGCTCCATCCCAACCTCCCCAAAGTGTCCCCAAACACCCCAAACCACCCCCAAATGTCCCCAAACCACCCCCTAAACAGTCCCCAGAGATGTCCCCAAGTGTCTCCAAAGTGTCCTAGCACCAAGAGTGTTCCCAAAATGCTTCTCAAGGTGTCCCTAATGTCCCCCCAACCTTCCCTCATCCCTCAGCCCCTCCCAACCTCCCCAAACTGTCCCCAAACGTCCCCAAAGTGTCCCCAAACACCCCAAACCACACCCAAAGTGTCCCCAAACGCCCCCAAAGCGTCCCCAGAGTGTCCCCAGGGGGTCCATACCAGCGCCCTCTTGACGTACTCCTCCTGGGCCGCCTTGGTGTTGTCCTTCTTGCCCCCCCAGGCCTTGAGGGCCGAGGCCTGCAGGGCCCGCCCGTACGAGAAGGTCAAAGCCCAGGGCCGGGGCAGGGGACAGCGGTTGATGGCGTTGAGGTTCAGAGACGCCTCCTCCTCGCTCTGACCCCCCGACAGGAACGTGATCCCTGCACAAAGGGACAGTGGGGACATCACTGGGGGGTTTGGGGACATCTCTGGGGGGTTTGGGGACATCCCTGGGGGGTTTGGGGACACTGGGGTCACTGGGAGCCCAGGGCCGGGGCAGGGGACAGCGGTTGATGGCGTTGAGGTTCAGAGACGCCTCCTCCTCGCTCTGACCCCCCGACAGGAACGTGATCCCTGCACATGGGGACATTGGGGACATCATTGAGGGGTCTGGGGTCATTGAGGGGTCACTCTGGGGTCACTCTGGGGGGTTTGGGGACATTGGGGACACTGGGAGCCCAGGGCCGGGGCAGGGGACAGCGGTTGATGGCGTTGTTGAGGTTCAGAGACGCCTCCTCCTCGCTCTGACCCCCCGACAGGAACGTGATCCCTGCACAAAGGGACATTGGGGACATCACTGGGGGGTTTGGGGACATCCCTGGGGGGTTTGGGGACATCCTGGGGGTTTGGGGACATTGGGGTCACTGGGAGCCCAGGGCCGGGGCAGGGGACAGCGGTTGATGGCGTTGTTGAGGTTCAGAGACGCCTCCTCCTCGCTCTGACCCCCCGACAGGAACGTGATCCCTGAACAAAGGGACAGTGGGGACATCACTGGGGGGTCTGGGGACATCACTGGGGGGTTTGGGGACACTCCTGGGGGGTTTGGGAGACATTGAGATCACTGAGAGCCCAGGGCCGGGGCAGGGGACAGCGGTTGATGGCGTTGTGAGGTTCAGAGACGCCTCCTCCTCGCTCTGACCCCCGACAGGAGCGTGATCCCTGAACAGACAGGGACAGTGGGGACATCACTGGGGGGTCTGGGGACATCCCTGGGGGGTTTGGGCACACTGGGACAGTCTGGGGTCACTGGGGGGTCACTCTGGGGGTCTGGGGACACTGGGACACTCTGGGGTCACTGTGGGGTCACTCTGGGGACACTTTGAGGACACTTTGGGGACCCCCTGGGGGTCACTCTGGGGTCACTCTGGGGACACTTTGGGGACACTCTGGGGACACTGGGGTCACTGGGGACACTCTGGGGACACTCTGGGGACCTCCTGGGGGTCACTCTGGGGGACACTTTTGGGGACACTTTGGGGTCACTCTGGGGTCACTCTGGGGTCACTCTGGGGACCCCTGGGGGTCACTCTGGGGACACTCTGGGGTCATCTGGGGATGGTCTGGGGACACTGGGACAGTCTGGGGACACTCTGGGGGTCACTCTGGGGACTGTGGGGACACTCTGGGGTCACTGGGGGTCACTCTGGGGGACACTGGGGATGGTCTGGGGTCACTCTGGGGATGGCTGGGGACACTTGGGGTCACTCTGGGGACACTGGGGATGGTCTGGGGTCACTGGGGGGTCACTCTGGGGGGTTTGGGGACACTCTGGGCACACTGGGACAGTCTGGGGTCACTCGGGACAGTCTGGGGTCACTGGGGTACACCTGGGGACTCTGGGGACACTGGGGACACTCGGGGATGCTCTGGGGACACTGGGGACAGTCTGGGGTCACTAGGGACACTCTGGGGTCACTGGGGTCACTGGGGGTCACTCTGGGGTCACTGGGGTCACTGGGGGGTCACTCTGGGCACACTGGGCACACTGGGAGCCCAGGGCCGGGGCAGGGGACAGCGGTTGATGGCGTTGTTGAGGTTCAGAGACACCTCCTCCTCGCTCTGACCCCCCGACAGGAACGGGAGCCCTGCCCAAAGGGACAGTGGGGACATCACTGGGGGGTTTGGGGACACTCTGGGGGGTTTGGGCACACTGGGGACACTGGGGATGGGCTGGGGACATCAGGGATGGTCTGGGGTCACTGGGACACTCTGGGGTCACTGGGGGGTCACTCTGGGGGGTTTGGGGACACTGTGAGACAGTCTGGGGGACACTCAGGGATGGTCTGGGGTCTGGGCACACTCTGGGGTCATGAGACACTCTGGGGTCACTGGGGGTCACCTGAGCACACTGGGTACACTCTGGGGTCACTGGGGGTCACTCTGGGGTCTGGGGACACTGGGGGGGTCACTCTGGGGGGTTGGGGACAGTCTGGGGTCACTGGGGGGTCACTCTGGGGACACTGGGGACAGTCTGGGGTCACTTGGGGGTCACTCTGGGAGGTCGGCACACTAGGGACGGTCTGGGGACATTGGGGACGGTCTGGGGACATTGGGGGTCTGGGGACACTCTGGGGACACTCTGGGCACACTGGGACAGTCTGGGGTCACTGGGGGTCACTCTGGGGTCTGGGGACACTCTGGGGTCATTGGGGGTCACTCTGGGGATTTGGGGACAGTCTGGGGACACTGGGACAGTCTGGGGACACTGGGGATGGTCTGGGGTCACTGGGATGGCACTGGGGTCACTGGGGGTCACTCTGGGGGCCTGGGGACACTCTAGGGGTCACTGGGGACGGTCTGGGGACACTGGGGTCACTCTGGGGGGTTGGGGACAGTCTGGGGTCACTGGGGAGTCACTCTGGGGACACTGGGGATGGACTGGGGACACTGGGACAGTCTGGGGACACTGGGGATGGTCTGGGCACATCAGGAATGGTCTGGGGACACTGGGACAGTCTGAGGTCATTGGGGGGTCATTCTGGGGGGTTTGGGGACAGTCTGGGGACACTGGGGGGTCACTCTGGGGGTTTGGGGACACTGGAGACACTGGGGATGGGTTGGGGACATCAGGGATGGGTTGGGGACACTGGGGACGTCACTCTGGGGCTCTGGGGACCCTGGGGACACTGGGAATGTGCCAGTGAGACAGAGAGGTGACAGGGGGGTGACAGTGACACAGAAAGGTGACAGTGACACCAGGAGGTGACAAGGAAGTGACAGTGACACAGGGAGGTGACAGTGACACTGGGAGGTGACAGCAACACTGGGAGGTGACAAGGAAGTGACAGTGACACAGGGAGGTGACAGGAAAGTGACAGCAACACAGAAAGGTGACAGTGACACCAGGAGGTGACAAGTGACAGTGACAGGGAGGTGACAGGAGGTGACAGTGACACCCACCGTGGCGACAAGCAGGTGGCACAGTGACGGTGCAGGGAGGTGACAGTGACACAGAGAGGTGACAGTGACACAAGGAGGTGACAGAGGTACAGACACACAGGAGGGTGACAGTGACACAGGGAGGTGACAGGAAAGTGACAGCAACACAGAAAGGTGACAGTGACACCAGGAGGTGACAGTGACCCAGGGGGAGGTGACAGTGACACACAGGGGGGTGACAGTGACACACAGGGTGGTGACAGTGACACAGGGGGAGGTGACAGTGACACACAGGGGGGTGACAGTGGCGACAGGACACGGTGAAGCAGTGACACACAGGGAGGTGACAGTGACACAGGGGGAGGTGACAGTGACACACAGGGGGGTGACAGTGACACACAGGGGGGTGACAGAGGTGACAGTGACACACAGGGAGGTGACAGAGGTGACAATAACCTGGCACAGCAGGTAGCGCGGTGACGGTGGCCATGGGGGAGGTGACAGTGACACAGTGACACAGGGGGAGGTGACAGAGGTGACAATAACCTGGCACAGCAGGCGGCACGGTGCGGCGCAGGGCGGTGACGGTGGCCATGGGGGAGGTGACAGTGACACAGTGACACAGGGGGAGGTGACAGAGGTGACAATGACACAGACCTGGCACAGCGGGTGGCACGGTGCGGCGCAGGGCGGTGACGGTGGCCATGGGGGAGGTGACAGTGACACAGTGACACACAATGAGGTAACAGGGGGGTGACAATGACACAGACCTGGCACGGCGGGTGGCACGGTGCGGCGCAGGGCGGTGACGGTGGCCATGGGGGAGGTGGCAGTGACACAATGAGGTGACAGTGACACACAGGGAGGTGACAGAGGTGACAATAACCTGGCACAGCAGGCGGCACGGTGCGGCGCAGGGCGGTGACGGTGGCCATGGGGGAGGTGACAGTGACACAGGGAGGTGACACAGACCTGGCACAGCGGGCGGCACGGTGCGCAGCAGGCGGTGACGGTGGCCATGGGGGAGGTGACAGTGACACAGGGAGGTGACACAGACCTGGCACAGCGGGCGGCACGGTGCGGCGCAGGGCGGTGACGGTGGCCATGGGGGAGGTGACAGTGACACAGGGGGGTGACAGAGGTGACAGTGACCCAGGGGGAGGTGACAATGACACAATAAGGTGACACAGACCTGGCACGGCGGGTGGCACGGTGCGGCGCAGGGCGGTGACGGTGGCCATGGGGGAGGTGACAGTGACACAGGGGGGTGACAGAGGTGACAATGACACAGGGAGGTGACACACACCTGGCACAGCAGGTGGCACGGTGCGGCGCAGGGCGGTGACGGTGGCCATGGGGGAGGTGACAGTGACACAGGGGGAGGTGACAATGACACACAGGGGGGTGATAGAGGTGACACAGACCTGGCACGGCGGGTGGCACGGTGCGGCGCAGGGCGGTGACGGTGGCCATGGGGGAGGTGACAGTGACACAATGAGGTGACAGTGACACACAGGGGGAGGTGACAGTGACACAGACCTGGCACAGCGGGTGGCACGGTGCGGCGCAGGGCGGTGACGGTGGCCATGGCGATCTCCTCGGGGCTGTACTTGGTGGCACAGGCGTGTCCCCCCGTCACCATGTTGGGCTTCAGCAGAGTCCCCTCCAGGTACATGTGGTGGTCGCTCAGGGCCTTGTACACGGCGGCCAGCACCTGGGGACAACGGGGACAGCTTGGGGACACCCAGGGGACATCAGGGGACACCTTGGGGACATCAGGGGACAGCTTGGGGACACCTTGGGGACACCTTGGGGACAGCTTGGGGACACCCCAGGTACACGTGGTGGTCACTCAGGGCCTTGTACACGGCGGCCAGCACCTGGGGACAACGGGGACAGCTTGGGGACACCTTGGGGACAGCATTGGGGACACCCCAGGGACACCCAGGGGACATCCTGGGGACACCCAGGGGACACCCCAGGTACACGTGGTGGTCACTCAGGGCCTTGTACACGGCGGCCAGCACCTGGGGACAACGGGGACAGCTTGGGGACACCCAGGGGACAGCTTGGGGACACCATGGGAACAGCCAGGGGACAGCGTGGGGACAGCCTGGGGGCACCTCAGGACATGGGGACATCACTGGGGACACCTTGGGGACACTCTGGGGACACCCTGGGATATGGGGACATCAGGGGACAGTTTGGGGACAGTTTGGGGACACTTTGGGGACAGCCCTGGACATGGGGACATCATTGGGGACACCTTGGGGACATCAGGGGACACCATGGGGACAGCCAGGGGACACCTTGGGGACAGCCAGGGGACAGTCAAGGACATGGGGACATCGTTGGGGACAGCGTGGGGACATCAGGGGACAGTTTGGGGACAGTCCAGGACATGGGGACACTCTGGGGACACCCTGGGATATGGGGACATCAGGGGACACCTTGGGGACACCCAGGGGACACCCCAGGACTTGGGGACATCACTGGGGACACCCAGGGGACACCACTGGGGACACCCTGGGGACTTGGGGACACCTTGGGGACAGCCCTGGACATGGGGACATCATTGGGGACACCTTGGGGACATCAGGGGAGTTGGGGACACCTTGGGGACAGCCCAGGACACGTGGATATCACTGGGGACACCTTGGGATATGGTTGGGGACAGCTTGGGGACAATGATGTGGCTGTCACCCACCTTCTCAGTGACGTACTGGCAGGTCTGGAGGTCGTGGGGACACTCAGGGACACCCAGGGGACACTCAGGGACACCCAGGGGACAGTTGGGGACAGTTGGGGACAGTTGGGGACATTGGGGACAGTTGGGGACAGTTGGGGACAGTGTCACCCACCTTCTCAGTGACGTACTGGCAGGTCTGGAGGCCATGGGGACATTGGGGACAGTTGGGGACAGTTGGGGACAATGATGTGGCTGTCACCCACCTTCTCAGTGACGTACTGGCAGGTCTTGAGGCCATGGGGACACTCAGGGGACAGTTGGGGACAGTTGGGGACATTGGGGACATTGGGGACAGTGTCACCCACCTTCTCAGTGACGTACTGGCAGGTCTTGAGGCCGTGGGGACAGTTGGGGACATTGGGGACAGTTGGGGACATTGGGGACAATGATGTGGCTGTCACCCACCTTCTCAGTGACGTACTGGCAGGTCTGGAGGCCATGGGGACACTCAGGGACACTCAGGGGACACTCAGGGGACAGTGCTGGAGGCCATGGGGACACTCAGGGGACATTGGGGACATTGGGGACAATGATGGGCGTCACCCACCTTCTCAGTGACGTGACTGGCAGGTCTGGAGGCCACGGGGACAGTCCTGGGGACACGTTGGGGACACACGATGGGGACAGTCACCCACCTTCCAGGGACACACTGGACAGGTCTGGAGGCCATGGGGACAGTTGGGGACAGTTGGGGACAGTTGGGGACAGTTGGGGACAGTGTCACCCACCTTCTCAGTGACGTACTGGCAGGTCTGGAGGTCGTGGGGACAGTTGGGGACAGTTGGGGACAATGACTGTGGCTGTCACCCACCTTCTCAGTGACGTACTGGCAGGTCTTGAGGCCATGGGGACAGTTGGGGACATTTGGGGACAGTGCCACCCACCTTCTCAGTGACGTACTGGCAGGTCTTGAGGTCGTGGTCGCCGTCCGGGAGGATCTCGGGCTCCACGATGGGGACGATCCCGTTCTGGGGCACCAAACCATCAGGGGACAACCGCTCAGGGACACCAAACCACCAGGGACACCAAGACAGCAGAACCACCCAGGGGACACCAAAACCATCCAGGGGACACCAAAACCATCCAGGGGACACCAAAACCATCTCCAGGGGACACAAAAACCACCCAGGGGACACCAAAACCATCCAGGGGACACCAAAACCACCCAGGGGACACCAAAACCACCCAGGGGACACCGTCAGGGGACAGCAGAGCCACCCAGGGGACACCAAAACCACCCAGGGGACACCAAAACCATCCAGGGGACACCAAAACCATCCAGGGGACACCAAACCACCCAGGGGACACCAAAACCACCCAGGGGACATCAGAGCCACCCAGGGGACACCATCAGGGGACACCAAACCATCTCCAGGGGACACCAAACGCTCTCCAGGTGTCACCAAACTCTCTCTTGATGTCACCAACCAGTTTTGGGACTCCATTAATGACCCCATTAATGACCCACCTTAATGACCACCAGGACACCAGCTACTGGGGACCCACCATCTAATGACCCCATTAGGGACCACCATTAATGACCCCCAACGACCCCAGGACCACCATTACTGACCCCACTAGTGACCCCATAATCACCCCTAGTGACCACCATCTAATGACCCCAGGACCCCATTACTGACCCCATTAATGACCCCATTAATGACCCCATTAATGACCCCATTAATGACCCCAGGACCCCATTAATGACCCCATTAATGACCCCATTAATGACCCCATTAATGACCCCATTAATGACCCCAGGCCTCCATTACTGACCCCATTAATGACCCCAGGCCCCCATTAATGACCCCAGGACTCCATTACTGACCCCATTAATGATCCCATTAATGACCCCATTAATGACCACAGGACTCCATTAATGACCCCATTAATGACCCCATTAATGACCCCATTAATGACCCCAGGACCCCATTAATGACCCCGTTAATGACCCCCAGGACCCCATTAATGACCCCGTTAATGACCCCAAGCCCCATTAATGACCCCAGGACCCCATTAATGACCCCAGGACCCCATTAATGACCCCGTTAATGACCACCAGGACCCCATTAATGACCCCAGAACCCCATTAATGACCCCGTTAATGACCCCAGGGCCCCATTAACGACCCCAGGGCCCCATTAATGACCCCAGTCCCTCGTTAATGCCCTGCTGGCAGATGCTGGCGTAGCGGGGCCAGCACGTTGGGGTTCTCCATCACCAACAGGGGTGCTGAGCCCAGGACCCCGTTAATGACCCCATTAATGACCCCAGAACCCCATTAATGACCCCGTTAATGACCTGCTGGCAGATGCTGGCGTAGCGGGGCCAGCACGTTGGGGTTCTCCAGCACCAACAGGGGTGCTGACCCCAGGAGATGTTTGGTGACCCCAGGAGATGTTTGGTGACCCCAGGCCCCCATTAATGACCCCAGGCCCTCATTAATGACCCCAGAACCCCATTAATTAATGACCTGCTGGCAGATGCTGGCGTAGCGGGGCCAGCACGTTGGCGTTCTCCAGCACCAACAGGGGTGCTGACCACAGGAGATGTTTGGTGACCCCAGGACCCCATTAATGACCCCAGGCCCCCATTGTTAATGACCCTGTTAATGACTGACCTGCTGGCAGATGCTGGCGTAGCGGGCCAGCACGTTGGCGTTCTCCAGCACCGCCAGGGCCGTGGGGGTGTGGGGGCCGATCTTGAGGACGCAGCGCCACTTGGCAAAGTCTGCCCCGTCCTTCTTGTACTGGGCACAGCGCTCCATGAGGCCATCCAGACCTGGGGACATTGGGGACATCATTGGGGACATTGGGGACATCACTGGGGATGTTGGACGCACAGGAGCCCAGCAAGTTGCGTTCTACGGCACAGCTCAGGGCCGTGACGGGAGTGGGCTGGGACGGAGCTCACGGGTTGAGCAGAGGCCAGGGCCACCAGTCTGCCCCTTCTTGTACTGGGCACAGCGCTCCATGAGGCCATCCAGACCTGTTTGGGGACATTGGGGACATTGGGGACATCATTGGGGACGTTGGGGACAGCCCAGGGGCACAGGGAGCCACTTGGCAAAGTCTGCCCCGTCCTTCTTGTACTGGGCACAGCGCTCCATGAGGCCATCCAGACCTGGGGACATTGGGGACATTGGGGACATCATTGGGGACATTGGGGACATTGGGGACATCATTGGGGACATTGGGGACAGGGGGCACAGGGAGCCACTTGGCAAAGTCTGCCCCGTCCTTCTTGTACTGGGCACAGCGCTCCATCAGCCCATCCAGACCTGGGGACAGGGACAGGGGACATTGGGGACATTTGGGACATCATTGGGGACATTGGGGACATCACTGGGGACATTGGGGACATCATTGGGGACAGCCCAGGGGCACAGGGGACGTTGGGGACAGCCCAGGGGCACAGGGAGCCACTTGGCAAAGTCTGCCCCGTCCTTCTTGTACTGGGCACAGCGCTCCATGAGCCCGTCCAGACCTGTTTGGGGACATTGGGGACATCATTGGGACATTGGGGACATTGGGGACATCATTGGGGACATTGGGGACATCATTGGGGACATCATTGGGGACAGGGGGCACAGGGAGCCACTTGGCAAAGTCAGCCCCGTCCTTCTTGTACTGGGCACAGCGCTCCATGAGGCCATCCAGACCTGTTTGGGGACATTGGGGACATCATTGGGACATTGGGGACATTGGGGACATCATTGGGGACATTGGGGACATCATTGGGGACATTGGGGACATCATTGGGGACATCATTGGGGACAGCCCAGGGGGCACTGGGGACATCATTGGGACATTGGGAGTGTCTGGGATGTTGGGGACATTGCATTGCTGTGACTGGGGACATTGCGTTACATGAGGGGCATGCAGCACTGATGATATTGAGGACATGGGGATGCTGAGATCATTGGGGACATTGGGGACACCGATGACATTGGAGACACTGAGACGGTTTGCATTGGGACATTGAGGGCATTTGGGGGACATTGGGACATCAGGACATTGGGGGTGTTAGACATTGAGGGATTTTGGCCATTGGGAACATTGGGGACATTGGGGATATTGGGGACATTGAGTGGATTTTGGGGACATTGGGGGTGTTGGGGACATCGAGGACATTGGAGACACTGAGAGGATTTGGGGGACATTGAAGACATTGAGGGGATTTTGGGGACATTGGGACATCAAGGACATTAGGAGGGGACATTGGGGACATTGAGGGGGTTGGGGGACATTGAGGACATTGAGGGGATTGGGGATGTTGGGGACATTGGGGACATTAAGGACATCAAGGACATTGGAGACACTGAGCGGGTTTGGGGACATTGGGGACATTGAGGGGATTTGGGGGACATTGGGGACATCAAGGACATTGGGGGTGTTGGGGACATTGAGGGGATTTTGGGGACATTGGGAACATTGGGGACATTGGGGATATTGGGGACATTGAGTGGATTTTGGGGACATTGGGGGTGTTGGGGACATCGAGGACATTGGAGACACTGAGAGGATTTGGGGGACATTGAAGACATTGAGGGGATTTTGGGGACATTGGGGACATCAAGGACATTAGGGACATTGAGGGGATTTGGGGACACTGGGGGTGTTGGGGACATCAAGGACATTGGGGACATTGAGGGGATTTGGGGACACTGGGGGTGTTGGGGACATCGAGGACATTGGGGACATTGAAGGGATTTGGGGGACATTGGGGGACATTGAGGGGGTTTGGGGACATTGAGGGGGTTTGGGGACATTGAGGGTGTTGGGGACATTGAGGACATTGAAGGGATTTGGGGACATTGGGGACATTGGGGACATTGAGGGGGTCTGGGGACATTGGGGACATCGAGGACATTGGGGACATTGAGGGGGTTTGGGGACATTGGGGGGATTTGGGGGACGTTGGGGACATTGGGGACACGGGGCACAGGCTGATGTCACAGGCTGATGTCACAGGATGATGTCACAGGCACAGGATGATGTCACAGGGACAGGCTGACGTCACAGGCACAGTGACAAGGAACAAGATGACGTCACAGACACAGGACGACGTCACAGGGACAGGATGACGTCACAGACACAGGGACAGGGGACAGGCTGATGTCACAGACACAGGATGACGTCACAGGCACAGGCTGATGTCACAGGGACAGGATGACATCACAAGGAGGGGACAGGATGACGTCACAGGCACAGGGACAGGGGACAGGATGGATGTCACAGACACAGGCTGACGTCACAGGCACAGGGACAGGATGATGTCACAGGGACAGGATGATGTCACAGGATGACATCACAGGCACAGGATGATATCACAGGGAGGGGACAGGATGACGTCACAGGCACAGGATGACAAGTCACAGGATGATGTCACAGGGACAGGATGACATCACAGGCACAGAATGACATCACAGGCACAGGGACAGGGCACAGGATGACGTCACAGACACAGGATGATGTCACAGGGACAGGGACAAGGGACAGGATGATGTCACAGACACAGGATGATGTCACAGGCGCAGAATGATGTCACAGGTACAGGGAAAAGGGACAGGATGATGTCACAGGGACAGGATGATGTCACAGGCACAGGGACAGGATGATGTCTCAGGCATAGGATGATGTCACAGACACAGGATGATGTCACAGCATGATGTCACAGAACAGGTTGATGTCACAGGCACAGGGACAAGGACAGGGCATAGACTGACGTCACAGGCACAGGATGATGTCACAGGCTGAGGTCCCTCACCTTGGGTGGTGGTCTCTCCGTTGGTGCCAGCCAGGGGCACCACCCCCTTGTCCACCTGGGGGACAGGGACGGGGTCACCAGGGGGTCACAGCCTGGCCCCGGGTGGCCCCAGGACCCCCCACACCCCCACACTGTCCCCAGTGTCACCAACACCCCTCACACCCCCACAGTGTCCTCAGTGTCACCAACACCCCCACACCCCACCGTGTCCCCAATGTCCCCACAGGTGTCCCCAACACCCCCACACCCCACTGTGTCCCCAATGTCCCCAACACCCCCACACCCCCACAGTGTCCCCAATGTCCCCAGGATCCCTCACACCCCCAGTGTCCTCAGTGTCACCAACACCCCCACACCCCCACCGTGTCCCCAATGTCCCCAAGGTGTCCCCAAGACCCCCATATCCCCACAGTGTCCCCAATGTCCCCAAGGTGTCCCCAAGATCCCCAATACCCCCACACAGTGTCCCCAATGTCCCCAAGGTGTCCCCAACACCCCCCACCCCCACCGTGTCCCCAATGTCCCCAGGGTGTCCCCAACACCCCTCACACCCCCACCGTGTCCCCAATGACGTCCCCAGGGTGTCCCCAATGTCCCCAACACCCCACACTGTCCCCAGTGTCCCCAACACCCCCCACCCCCACCGTGACCCCAATGTCCCCACAGTGTCCCCAATGTCCCCAGGATCCCTCACACCCCCACAGTGTCCTCAAGGTGTCCCCAGGGTCCCCCACACCCCCACAGTGTCCCCAATGTCCCCAGGATCCCTCACACCCCCACAGTGTCCTCAAGGTGTCACCAGGACCCCCCACACCCCCACCGTGTCCCCAATGTCCCCAGGACCCCTCACACCCCCACTGTGTCCCCATTGTCCCCAGGGTGTCCCCAACACCCCCCACAGTGTCCCCATTGTCCCCAGGGTGTCCCCAGTGTCCCCAGGGTGTCCCCAATGTCCCCAGGGTGTCCCCAGTGTCTCTGCTCACCCCAGGGTGTCCCCAGGGTGTCCCCAGGGTGTGCCCAGGGTGTGTCACCCCCCGCCTGTGCCCACCTTGATGCCCACGAGGGCTCCCTTGTCCCGGATGACCTTGGGGAAGGGGCGGCCGTCGTCGGCCTTCTGGTAGAGGGGCTGCTGCCCCCCCGGGGTGACCCCCTGTCCCCAGAGTGTCCCCAGGGTGTCCCCAGGGTGTCCCCAGGGTGTCCCCAGTGTCTCTGCTCACCCCAGGGTGTCCCCAAGACCCTTCCCATCCCCAAGGTGTCCCCAAGACCTCTCACACCCCCAAGGTGTCCCCAGGGTGTCCCCAGTGTCCCCAGGGTGTCCCCAGTGTCCCCAGGGTGTCCCCCATGTCCCCAGTGTCTCTGCTCACCCCAGGGTGTCCCCAAGACCTCTTACACCCCCAAGGTGTCCCCAATGACCCTGAGGTGTCCCCAATGACCCTGAGGTGTCCCTCATGTCCCCAGGGTGTCCCCAGTGTCTCTGCTCACCCCAGGGTGTCCCCAATGACCCCGCAGGTGTCCCCAGTGTCTCTGCTCACCCCAGGGTGTCCCCAGGGTGTCCCCAGGGTGTCCCCAGTGTCTCTGCTCACCCCAGGGTATCCCCAGGGTGTCCCCAGTGTCCCCAGGGTGTCCCCAATGTCCCCAGGGTGTCCCCCAGGTGTCCCCAAGGTGTCCCCAGGGTGTCCCCAGGGTGACCCCAGGGTGTCCCCAGAGTGTCCCCAGGGTGTGTCACACCCTGTCTGTGCCCACCTTGATGCCCACGAGGGCTCCCTTGTCGCGGATGACCTTGGGGAAGGGGCGGCCGTCGTCGGCCTTCTGGTAGAGGGGCTGCTGCCCCCCCGGGGTGACCCCCTGTCCCCAGAGTGTCCCCAGGGTGTCCCCAGTGTCCCCAGGGTGTCCCCAGGGTGTCCCCAATGTCCCCAGGGTGTCCCCAGGGTGTGCCACCCCCCACCTGTGCCCACCTTGATGCCCACGAGGGCTCCCTTGTCGCGGATGACCTTGGGGAAGGGGCGGCCGTCGTCGGCCTTCTGGTAGAGGGTCTCGTGGAAGAGGATGACGCCGCCGATGCAGGGGTCCACGCGCTGGTCGGCCGTGAAGAGCAGCTGCCGGTACCAGCGCCGGTTCTCCTCCGTGTTCTCCGCCCCCACCGAGCTCAGCCGCTTGGCGATGCTGCCTGGGGGTCAATACACCAGTTAAAACCAGTATAAACCAGTATGGACCAGTATGGACAGTGTGGAGCGGTGTGGGAGGGCCCAGCAGCTGCCGGTACCAGCGCCGGTTCTCCTCCGTGTTCTCCGCCCCCACCGAGCTCAGCCGCTTGGCGATGCTGCCTGGGGGGGGATGGACCAGTTAAAACCAGTATAGACCAGTATGGACCAGTCTAGAGCAGTGTGGAGCGGTGTGGGAGGGCCCAGCAGCTGCCGGTACCAGCGCCGGTTCTCCTCCGTGTTCTCCGCCCCCACCGAGCTCAGCCGCTTGGCGATGCTGCCTGGGGGTCAATGCACCAGTTAAAACCAGTATAAACCAGTATGGACAAGTATGGACCAGTATGGAACAGTACAGACCAGTATGGACCAGTATGGATCAGTACAGACCAGTAAGGATCAGTACAGACCACTAAGAAACAAAAGGGAACAATAAGAACCAGTAAGGAACAGGATGGACCAGTATAAACCAGTATAAACCAGTATGGACCAGTATAAACCAGTCTGGATGAGTATGGAGGAGTATAAACCAGTAAGGACCAGGATGGACCAGTATGGACCAGTATAAACCAGTATGGGTCAGTATGGACCACTAAGGAACAGAAAGGAACAATAAGAACCAGTAAAGAACATGATGAACCAGTATAAACCAGTATGGACCAGTATAAACCAGTATGGACAAGTATGGACCAGTCTGGGTCAGTACAAACCACTGAGGAACAGAAAGGAACAATAAGAACCAGTAAGGAACAGGATGGACCAGTATAAACCAGTAAGGACCAGAAAAGATCAGCAAGGACCTGTGCAGTTCAATAAGGACCAGTATAGACCAGTATAGACCAGTATAGACCAGTGTGGAGCGGTGTGGGAGGGCCCAGCAGCTGCCGGTACCAGCGCCGGTTCTCCTCCGTGTTCTCCGCCCCCACCGAGCTCAGCCGCTGAGCGATGCTGCCTGGGGGTCAATGCACCAGTTAAAACCAGTATAGACCAGTATGGACCAGTTTAAACCAGTGTGGAGCGGTGTGGGAGGGCCCAGCAGCTGCCGGTACCAGCGCCGGTTCTCCTCCGTGTTCTCCGCCCCCACCGAGCTCAGCCGCTTGGCGATGCTGCCTGGGGGGTGACACACCAGTTAAAACCAGTATAAACCAGTATGGACAGTGTGGAGCGGTGTGGGAGGGCCCAGCAGCTGCCGGTACCAGCGCCGGTTCTCCTCCGTGTTCTCCGCCCCCACCGAGCTCAGCCGCTTGGCGATGCTGCCTGGGGGTCAATACACCAGTTAAAACCAGTATAAACCAGTATGGACAAGTATGGACCAGTATGGAACAGTACAGACCAGTATGGACCAGTATGGATCAGTACAGACCAGTAAGGATCAGTACAGACCACTAAGAAACAAAAGGGAACAATAAGAACCAGTAAGGAACAGGATGGACCAGTATAAACCAGTATGGACTAGTATGGACCAGTATAAACCAGTCTGGATGAATATGGAGGAGTATAAACCAGTAAGGACCAGTATGGACCAGTATGGACCAGTATAAACCAGTATGGGTCAGTATGGACCACTAAGGAACAGATAAACAGGAACCAGTATAGAACCAGTAAGGAACAGTATGGACCAGTATAAACCAGTATGGACCAGTATAAACCAGTATGGAGCAGTATGGACCAGTCTGGGTCAGCACGGACCACTAAGGAACAGAAAAGAACAAGAAGAGCCAGTATGGAATGGGAAAGAACATGATGGACCAGTATGGACCAGTATAAACCAGTATGGAGCAGTATGGACCAGTCTGGGTCAGCACGGACCACTAAGGAACAGAAAGGAACAATAAGAACCAGTAAGGAACAGGATAGACCAGTATGGACCAGTATAAACCACTAAGGACCAGTAGAAATCAGCAAGAACCGGTACAGTTCAATAAGGATCACTATAGACCAGTACGGACCAGTAAGGACCAGTCTGGGTCAGTATGGACCACTAAGGAATGGAAAGGAACAATGAGAACCAGTAAAGAACAAGATAGACCAGTATGGACCAGTATAAACCAGTATGAACCAGTATACACCAGTAGAGATCAGCAAGAACCTGTACAGTTCAATAAGGATCACTACGGACCAGTATGGACCAGTATGGACCAGTAAGGACCAGTATGGACCAGTATGGGTCAGTACAGACCACTAAGGAACAAAAGGGAACAATAAGAACCAGTAAAGAACAGTATGGACCAGTATAAACCAGTATGGACCAGTATAAACCAGTATGGGTCAGTATGGACCACTAAGGAACAGGAAGGAACAATAGGAACCAGTAAGGAACAGGATGGACCAGTATAAACCAGTAAGAACCACTACAGATCAGTAAGGACCAGTATAGATCAATAACAAACAATATGGACCAGTATAAACCAGTATGGATGAGTATGGAGCAGTCTGGACCAGTAAGGACCAGTATATATCAATAACAAACAATATGGACCAGTATAAACCAGTATAAACCAGTATGGATGAGTATGGAGCAGTCTGGACCAGTACAGACCAGTATGGAGTGCTATAGACCAGTATGGGTCAGGATAGACCAGTAAGGACCAGTAAGGATCAGCAGGGAATGGGATGGACCAGTAAGAACCAGTAAGGATCAGTGTGGACCAGTACAGACCAGTATGGACCAGTATGGACTGGGATGGACCAGTAAGGACCAGTAAGGATCACTAGGGAATGGGAGTCACCCAGTGGCTCCCAGTATAAACCAGTGCCTCCCAGTACACAGTAGTTATTCCCAGTATGCACCAGTGGCTCCCAGTAAGGACCAGTGGCTCCCAGTATGAACCAGCGACTCCCAGTATGCACGAGTGGCTCCCAGTATGAACCAGCAGCGCCCAGCATAAACCAGCGACTCCCAGTATGAACCAGCAGCTCCCAGTATAAACCAGTGGCTCTCAGTATAAACCAGCAACTCCCAGTATGCACCAGTAACTCCCAGCATAAACCAGTGGCTCTCAGTATAAACCAGTGACTCCCAGTATGCACCAGTAACTCCCAGCATAAACCAGTGGCTCTCAGTATAAACCAGGGACTCCCAGTATGAACCAGCAGCTCCCAGTATAAACCAGTGGCTCTCAGTATAAACCAGGGACTCCCAGTATAAACCAGTGACTCCCAGTATGCACCAGTGGCTCTCAGTATAAACCAGTGACTCCCAGTATAAACCAGTGACTCCCAGTATAAACCAGTGGCTCTCAGTATAAACCAGTAACTCCCAGCATAAACCAGTGGCTCTCAGTATAAACCAGCGACTCCCAGTATAAACCAGCAACTCCCAGTATGAACCAGCGACTCCCAGTATGCACGAGTGGCTCCCAGTATGAACCAGCAGCTCCCAGTATAAACCAGTGACTCCCAGTATGCACCAGTAACTCCCAGCATAAACCAGTGGCTCTCAGTATAAACCAGTGACTCCCAGTATAAACCAGCAACTCCCAGTATGCACCAGTGGCTCCCAGTACACACCAATGGCTCCCAGTATGAACCAGCAGCTCCCAGTATAAATCAGTAACTCCCAGTACGCACCAGTAACTCCCAGTACAAACCAGTGACTCCCAGTATGAACCACACACTCCCAGTATGCACCAGTGGCTCCCAGTATGGACCAGCCAACATGTGGTGTTTTCCCAGTGTCCTCCCAGTAGCTCCCAGTATCCTCCCAGTGCCTCCCCGTGCTTCCCAGTGTCCTCCCAGTAGCTCCCAGTGCTTCCCAGTAGCTCCCAGTATCCTCCCAGTAGCTCCCAGTATCCTCCCAGTAGCTCCCAGTGCTTCCCCAGAAGCTCCCAGTAAGTCCCAGTCCCCTCCCAATCCCCTCCCAGTACAACCCAGTCCCTCCCAGTGCCCTGGCGTTGACTCCCAGTCCCTCCCAGTCCCTCCCAGTGCCCTCTTGGCCCTTTCTTATCTCCCTCCAGTCCCTCCCAGTTCCTCCCAGTTGCCCCCAGTGCCCCCAGTCCCTCCCAGTCCACTCCCAGTGCCCTCTTGGCCCTTTCTTATCTCCCTCCAGTGCCTCCCAGTCCACTCCCAGTTCCTCCCAGTTGCTCCCAGGGCCCTTCCAGTGAGGCCCAGCCCCCTCCCAGTCACTCCCAGTGCCTCCCAGTCCCTCCCAGTCCACTCCCAGTGCCGTCTTGGCCCCTTCTTATCTCCCCCCAGTCACTCCCAGTTCCTCCCAGTCACTCCTAATCTTTCCCAGTGCTTCCCAGTTACCCCCCAGTGCTCCCAGTCCTCTCCCAGTCCCTCCTAATCCTTCCCAGTCCCTCCCAGTCCACTCCCAGTGCCCTCTTGGCCCTTCCTTATCTCCACCCAGTCCCGCCCAGTCTACTTCCAGTGCCCTTCCAGTGCTCCCAGTGCCCCCAGTCCCTCCCAGTCCCTCCTAATCCTTCCCAGTCCCTCCCAGTGCCCTCCCAGTGCTCCCAGTCCTCTCCCAGTCCCTCCTAATCCTTCCCAGTCCCTCCCAGCCCCCTCCCAGTGCTCCCAGTCCCTCCTAATCCTTCCCAGTTGCCCCCAGTGCTCCCAGTCCACTCCCAGTGCCCTCTTGGCCCTTTCTTATCTCCCTCCAGTGCCTCCCAGTCCACTCCCAGTTCCTCCCAGTTGCTCCCAGTGCTCCCAGTCCCTCCCAGTGCCCTCCTGCCCCTTTCTTATCTCCCTCCAGTCCCTCCCAATCCACTCCCAGTTCCTCCCAGTTGCTCCCAGTGCCCTTCCAGTGAGGCCCAGCCCCCTCCCAGTTCACTTCCAGTGCCTCCCAGTTGCTCCCAGTCCCTCCCAGTCTCTCCTAATCCTTCCCAGTGCCTCCCAGTGCCCCCCAGTCCCCTCCCAGTTTCCCCCAGTGCTCCCCAGTTCCCTTTCCAGTGCCCTCCAGTCCCCTCCCAGTGCCCCCAGTCCCTCCCAGTGCCCTCTTGGCCCTTTCTTATCTCCCTCCAGCCCCTCCCAGTTCCTCCCAATTGCTCCCAGTGCCCTTCCAGTGAGGCCCAGCCCCCTCCCAGTTCACTTCCAGTGCCTCCCAGTCTCTCCTAATCCTTCCCAGTGCCTCCCAGTCCCCTCCCAGTGCCTCCCAGTTTCCCCCAGTGCTCCCCAGTCCCCTTTCCAGTGCCCTCCAGTCCCTCCCAGTCCACTCCCAGTGCCCTCTTGGCCCTTTCTTATCTCCCCCCAGTCCCGCCCAGTCCACTTCCAGTCCCTCCCAGCCCCCTCCCAGTGCCCCCAGTCCCTCCCAGTCCCTCTTAATCCTTCCCAGTCCCTTCCAGTGCTCCCAGTCCTCTTCCAGTCTCTCCTAATCCTTCCCAGTCCCTCCCAGCCCCCTCCCAGTCCTCTCCCAGTCCCTCCTAATCCTTCCCAGTTGCCCCCAGTGCCTCCCAGCCCACTCCCAGTGCTCTCTTGGCCCTTTCTTATCTCCCTCCAGTCACTCCCGGTCCACTCCCAGTGCCCTTCCAGTGCGGCCAAGCCCCCTCCCAGTGACCCCAGTCCCTCCCAGTCCACTCCCAGTGCCCTTCCAGTGCGGCCAAGCCCCCTCCCAGTGACCCCAGTCCCTCCCAGTCCACTCCCAGTGCCCTCCTGGCCCTTTCTTAACAACCCCCAGTCCCGCCCAGTTCCTCCCAGTTGCTCCCAGTGCCCCTAGTCCCTCCTAATCCTTCCCAGTGCCCCCCAATCCCCTCCCAGTGCCTCCCAGTGCCCTCCCAGTGCCCCCCAATCCCCTCCCAGTGCCCTCCCAGTGCCCACCAGTGCCCACCAGTGCTCTCATCGGCGGCCAGGATGCCCTTGCCGGGGGCCACGATGCGCTGGGCGATGGCTGCCCAGTGCCCTCCCAGTGCCTCCCAGTGCCTCCCAGTGCCCCTCAATCCCCTCCCAGTGCGTCCCAGTGCCCACCAGTGCTCTCATCGGCGGCCAGGATGCCCTTGCCGGGGGCCACGATGCGCTGGGCGATGGCCACCCAGTGCCTCCCAGTGCCTCCCAGTGCTCCCAGTGCCAATGCCCTCCCAGTGCCTCCCAGTGCCTCCAGTGCCCCAGTGCGCCCAGTGCTAATCCCCTCCCAGTGCCCTCAATCCCCTCCCAGTGCCTCCCAGTGTGTCCAGTGCCCCCAATCCCCTCCCAGTGCCTCCA